AGAATATATTTTATGCAACTCCCTTTATATCTATATCATTTTCGACGGGAATGGGTGCGTCTTCTCGGCGAACGGGCCCTTCTCAACAAAAAAATAATAAAGTTGCCCCGATCCGGCTGTGGACCTCACACGTGACTCCTACCACTCCCCTATACCCCCCCCAGAGGTGCCAGATCGAAAGCACCCCTACCCGCCGACTTATGCCCCCTTCGAGTTTTGAAATCAAAAAAATTTTGACTAAGTCCGCGTTTTTGTTCTGTTCGAGCCTCTGCGAAACGTCAATTTTGCGGGCGTCAAGCCCACTTTCGACTGGACCCATACAAATTTCGTGCAAAATCGGACCCGACTGGGCCCACTCCACCCATCGCGTGCGAGGTCGCTTAAACAGACCTCGGTGAGTATATGTAGGGTGAGGTGATTCCGAAAAACAAAAAGTGGGCGAAGGGTATCTTCTCTACGTTTAGCGGTTGACCTTCATTCTAGCTATGGTTCTGGGGGCATTCGTGGGCTTGGGCGCGGCTGGTTGGGCGTTGGCTAGTTAGGATTTTTTAACTAAGATTTAGCGGCTCGCCTGTCTGTAATTCGTGCTCTTAGGTTTCTTGTTCGCTGAGATCGGCTCTCGATGTCAAGGCTTCCAGCCCTGGGTTGGGCTTTCGACGTTCGGGGCGGTTCTGCGGCCCTCGGCGGCCTCATGGCTCGGCTGAGGGTTGCCCGAATGCCTAACGTTCTCGTACGATAGGTTTCGATGGGGCTTGTCGATTGTTGGCCGCTGGCCAGCGCTGACATCCCTAACTTCCGGGGGGGAGGTCGACCTCGATATCCGCCGACGCTTTAGCGGCGTCGGCGTGTTCGGGCGTCGATTCCCTCCTTCCGCTCCCCCAATGCCGCAGGGGCCGGGCACGACGTGTCTTTGGCCGCCAAAGCCTGCGCGCGGAGGATGGAGGGAAAACTGCAGTGGGGGCAATCGAATGCCCGGTTCTTTCGAGCGGTACGCCGCCTCGCAGAGATTCGGGCGGGCCCGTATGCCTCGCGCGTTGGGCCCCGACCTCGATTTGATCACTTCTCGGGCGCGGCCAGCCGTGCTGCCCGCCCGACGCCAGATCCGCGGGCACCCCAGCCGGGTGCCCCGGGGGCGGCGGCAGGTGAGATATCTGGTTGATTCTGCCAGTAGTCATATGCTTGTCTCAAAGATTAAGCCATGCATGTCTAAGTATAAGCACATTGTACGGTGAAACTGCGAATGGCTCATTAAATCAGTTATCGTTTATTTGATAGTACCTTACTACATGGATACCTGTGGTAATTCTAGAGCTAATACATGCTAAAAACCTCGACTTCGGAAGGGGTGTATTTATTAGATAAAAAACCAATGCCCTTCGGGGCTCTCTGGTGATTCATAATAACTTCTCGAATCGCATGGCCTTGCGCCGGCGATGGTTCATTCAAATTTCTGCCCTATCAACTTTCGATGGTAGGATAGTGGCCTACCATGGTGGCAACGGGTAACGGGGAATTAGGGTTCGATTCCGGAGAGGGAGCCTGAGAAACGGCTACCACATCCAAGGAAGGCAGCAGGCGCGCAAATTACCCAATCCCGATACGGGGAGGTAGTGACAATAAATACTGATACAGGGCTCTTTAGGGTCTTGTAATTGGAATGAGTACAATTTAAACCCCTTAACGAGGAACAATTGGAGGGCAAGTCTGGTGCCAGCAGCCGCGGTAATTCCAGCTCCAATAGCGTATATTAAAGTTGTTGCAGTTAAAAAGCTCGTAGTTGAACCTTGGGCCTGGCTGGCCGGTCCGCCTCACGGCGTGCACTGGTCCGGCTGGGTCTTTCCTCCTGGGGAACCCCATGGCCTTCACTGGCCGTGGGCGGAACCAGGGCTTTTACTGTGAAAAAATTAGAGTGTTCAAAGCAGGCCTTTGCTCGGATACATTAGCATGGAATAATAGAATAGGACGTGTGGTTCTATTTTGTTGGTTTCCAGGACCGCCGTAATGATTAATAGGGATAGTCGGGGGCGTCAGTATTCGGCTGTCAGAGGTGAAATTCTTGGATTTGCCGAAGACTAACTACTGCGAAAGCATTCGCCAAGGATGTTTTCATTAATCAGTGAACGAAAGTTAGGGGATCGAAGACGATCAGATACCGTCGTAGTCTTAACCATAAACTATGCCGACTAGGGATCGGACGGGGTTTCTTTTATGACCCGTTCGGCACCTTACGAGAAATCAAAGTTTTTGGGTTCTGGGGGGAGTATGGTCGCAAGGCTGAAACTTAAAGAAATTGACGGAAGGGCACCACCAGGCGTGGAGCCTGCGGCTTAATTTGACTCAACACGGGGAAACTCACCAGGTCCAGACAAAATAAGGATTGACAGATTGAGAGCTCTTTCTTGATCTTTTGGATGGTGGTGCATGGCCGTTCTTAGTTGGTGGAGTGATTTGTCTGCTTAATTGCGATAACGAACGAGACCTTAACCTGCTAAATAGCCCG